GCCCGCGCCGCGGGTTCGCGGGCCGCCCGCGCTCCCCGAGCGGTCTCTGCGGCGCTTTAAAATGTTGATTTTTGCCCTCGGCGAACTTCCCCCGCCTCGATTCGCCAGACACCTTCTTTTTGTCGCTTACTGTCCTGCGAGAACGCACCGCCTTGCTCGTGGTCCTGGAAGCCCGTGAGCCAGTCTTGTCTGCTTGATTTTATCCGCTTTGCATTTTTACATTTTATAGGTAAAATTATTTTATTCACAATTGGCCTGTGCAATTAATGCTATTAAAATGTTTAGACTTTCGACTTGACACAATCGCCTTCTTTTTTTTATTAATTTTAAACTTTTTTTCCTAAAAAAAAAATTGAGTTTCATGCCCAAATGTGTGTGTGCTTCTATTTACTTATCAACTGCCCATCTCTCTACTTCTCTATTTCTACATCAAGAGGGAATCAACCAAAACCTTACCAAAGGATGTCACTATAGCTCCACGAAATAATAAACAACTTTATATTTTTCTGGCTACATGCAGATACCCTTTTTAAGTAAATAAGTTATATAAACATACTATAAAAAATAATAAACTAGAAAATAATTTTAAAGCTGGGCCACGAATTATGAAGATAACCTTGTCCAGCCATAACTTAAAAAATTTAGATAATACTGCTCAGAATTGTTAAATGACTTGCTTAAACAAGGAAACTAGTGACAGAGTTAAAACTGTAATGACAGTTTATAATTCTATAAATACATAATATATATTTATGATTACAGCTCAGTACTGTTGCTGAGAAGCATACTACCTCCTGGGTACATATTTGATTATTTTAACATCTCTAGGCCCTTATACAGTCAGCATAATGGGAAATGAAAGAATCTCAATACTTACAGAGTCGAATTCATTTAGATGATCCAAGAGAGACCACCCTTACATCTACTTCCTAGACAGAGGAGCAAAGTGAAGAAAGAAAGAAGGCTTCCTACCACTGAAACCTGCTAAGATTTCATTGGCTGGAAACGAGACAGCCACAGATTGTTGCAAGGGAGGCTTGGAAATGTAGGATTTACTCTGGAAAGCTATTTGCCCAGCTAAAATCATTGATACTATTAGAGAAGGAGATGAAAGAATTGGATACAAAGAGCTGCAGAGCTGTCATGTTTTTTTAGAGAGAAAAAAACCCCAAAATTTTCTTATCTAAAATTAAAATTTTGTCGTTATTTTACAGAATGATATCCAAGCAAATAATTTTAATAGTATTTTTAAACTTTGAAGCCTAAAACAATGGCATTGCCAGTTATTGCATTTTCTGTTTTATGATAACATAAAATAATTATTAAATGATAAAATATCCATGCATTCCTGTATTCCAGAGTTTAAGAGATGTAAATATAGATATGAGGAGAAAAAAGAGAGAGGATGTACAATGAATGTTTTAAAATATCCCATTTTCCTCAATGCCCTCCTTGTAAAAGAGACGCATCTGCTATCTTATTGAATATAAGCTTTAGTAGTAAAAATTAAAATAAAGAACAAACAGAACGCTGGCTAAAAATTAAAACCTCATGATGAATTTTGTTTAATTAAAAAATATTACTTTTCAATTCCTTATTTTACTCTATAAATGGGTAAGTTTGGGATTTTGCAAATTTCTCTATTTCTTTTGGGTTTTCTCTGGAAATTTCATGTAAAGTAGTTCTGTGAATTAGATGAAGCTTCCCTGTAGTCACCAGTGTTAGGGAAGAGTAGCCCATGAAAAGTCGGCTGTAAGCTCTGTAGGCCTGGGCTGAGGGGGTCAGTGCCTCATGAAAGTGTCCCTCAGTGTGAGGAGAGGCTACATGTACATTATAAGCAAATAAAGCTGATGAAAACTTTTAAAAAATGTAGTTCTATAGTCTTGAAACTAAATGTGAAATTGCACAGAAAATGCCTTACTCTAATCCTAAAACCCTCAAGAAACTAAAGCGCATTCCATCTTTATAATAATGGGACTCTGAAGGTTGATGCCCTTCATTGCAAATATAACAGACCCAATTTGCTTAAAATCAATGAAATAAAACAGCCTTCCAGCCCATGTGGAATTATATGCCTAAATATGTCATGCAGTTGCCAAACACTACGCAAGGGCAAGGAGGAGCCACTGACGTGGCCACCACAGCCCAGGCTGCCTGGCTTGTGGACAGCTGTGTGGACCACAGCCCTGGATGTGGGAGCTGACCAAGCGTTCCAGGAGCTGAAGTGCTCTTGAGATCCACCCCGTCTTTCTCTTTCTATTCGTGCTATAAACTGCCGTCTACCACTCTAAATGAAATTATTATTGTTATTATTATTGTTATTGTCTAAATTAGAGTGCTGTTATCTGCCACTGAAATATTATTGGAACCTCTGTGACAGCAACCTCTGTTAGCATTACTATCTACCTATATCTCAACATTTCTTGGATCTTGTAACTTGGGAGGACAGCCAGGGAAAGAAAGATTAAAGTATCAGATAGCCAGTCATGTTTCAAAAAATGTAATTATTTTGAAAAACAATCAAGAGTTAATGGAAGAATAAAGGAATAAAAGTCAGAGCTGGTTTTCTTAACTTTCTTAGATCAAATCTGAACCAAACTGCTTGATTTGCCCCCCTCCCCTACAATTTTTAATGTAAAAAAAAAAAAAGAAATTTGGTTACGTATGGATTTACAAGTAAATTGAATCCTATCTTCTTAGTGAGGCAGAAAAAAAATAGATTGAATAATTCTCATGTTGATTGAAAAGTAAATTCTTACTCAATCTGACTGCTTCCATCCATACCCAAATAAGGTTAGTGGCCTATTTTAAATTTTGAAACACTGGTGAAGTGAAAATAATCAGGAATGAATTTTCCATTGTCTGGTAGTGATTTAACTTTATGCCCAAGAAAGTGAAAGAAAAAAAAAATCTTTCAAATGAAAAAATAGTGGAAAACAATAAATCGTAAGTCTAATGTGTTTGCAATTGCATTAGTGGAAAAAAATATATTCTTTTATTTTTATATTTTAAATTGTTAATGCAGAGATTCTTTTATTTTTATATTTTAAATTGTTAATGCAGAGATTAGGGCTGAGTGATAAAAGCCACATTTTAATTAATATCATCAACAAAAGCCATCCTAAGAATTCTTAGAATCTTTCTAAGAAAAGGCAGTACTTTTAAATGAATAAAATATCTTTTAAAAACTCGACAGCCTGGCTGGTGTTGCTCAGTGGTTGAGTGTCTACCTATGAACCTGGAGGTCACAGTTCGATTCTTGGTCAGGGTACATGCCCGGGTTGTGGGTTCGATCCCAAGAAGAGGGTGTGCAGGAGGCAGCCGTTCGATGATTCTCTCTCATCATTGATGTTCCTTTCTCCCTCTCCCTTCCTCTCTCTGAAATCAATAAAAACTTATTTTAAAAAAAAAAAAAACTAGACAAATCATAACTATTATTTTATTTCTTTTTTCCTATAATATCATTTCATTCTTCCTCCTACTTCCTTTATTATTTGTCAATAACTGTTAATTTTATGGTATTTTATCCTACTTGTAAGCTATCAAAGTAGCTCCTTAGCTTTGTGGATACTAGCAGAAGATATAAGACTCATAAGCCACAGACAAAGGCATTGGAAGCAGAAAAAATTGACATCATTTGTGTCAATTTTCTTTGTCTCCTCCCCTCCCCATTTCATTTGGACAATTTCTGAGAGGGGCTCAGGTGAATCCTGCACCTGTAGTGGGTTTGCATCATAGCTGAGGGACACCAAGCTTAGGGAACCCTGCTTGTTAAAAAAAATGAACTGTGAACAAAACTGCCTGAACTCTACTCCAGAGGGAGACATTATCTTTATTTTATTGTACAGCATGCAAATCCTTCTACTCTGGTGGGGACCATAACTCAGCCTCCAAGGATGTTCCTCTACAAATGTCCTTAAAAAGATAGTTGAAGGAAAAGGGAGGTTAGTGCAGAAATGTGAGAGACATATGGATAATCGTCTTCTAAGATTATTATTTATTGATCCAATGAGAAATGTCAGCTGGAAAACTTATCTATACCCAGCACATGGTCACCCTTAGGGAAAGTCTGCAAATGACTGGCTGTTCTACCTATAGAGCCAATTAATAGGGCCTGTGACAAACACTCTCATTGATCAAACTTTATTATTTTTCAACTAGGCCTGACTTTTGGACTTCCGTATTTTTCCCTGCATTGTCCAATTTTAGCA